CTTCGAAGTCGGGGCCGCGACTCTTTGCCGCGGGCATCGGAACCTGGAATGTGCAGATTTTGTGGCTTTTCCTCATTTTACTCACTAGTGGAAGACATGGTCGGGGTTGTGGAGCATTTTACTCCTTGTTTTGTGATGATAAGGCCTTAAACTATGTATGGATGTTGGATATGAAGTAGTATAAATGGGGGTGAAGTGTAAGACTTGGAAGACAACTCCATAGAGGGGTTCTCCCTCTTTCCCTCCTTCTTCTTCTCCTTTTCTTCTTTCTTTCCTTCTTCTTCATTTTTAGTTCATTTTCTTGGTTTATTTGTGAAGTGTAATATTTGGAGAATACAAGATTTCTTGTGAACTCGGTTTGGCTTGTACGTTGATTTCGATTCTCGACTTGGATTAATAGTACGTTTTCCTCATTTGATTATGAATATGAAAGCTTGTGTTAATTCTTTTGTTGTTATTGATTTCATCATGAGTAACTAATCCTCTAGCTAGGGTTAAGAGATAATCATTCCGGTTTGTTCTCGTTTATGTGCATGACGATAGCTCAATCTTGACGAGTTGTTTTAATTATGAATTGATAAAATCATACTTGATAAATTTTTATAACCTAAGAGTGACACTTAGGTTAATTTGTTGATATAATCGAATAGTGACACTTTGATTTGCGATTGAATATTGATTTATTGAGTTAGAGTTTGTTAATTCTATGAATTGCGACTTTTAGAACCGAAAGGGGGGGGAGTCATAGAGATAATCGATTTCAAAACCGAGAGGGGAGAAATTGATGGAACTTGGCTCATTTAGAGTAGACATGTTCGGAGACGTATTGTCTGTGTTAATTGTTTCGTTAATTTGCTCTTTTATGTTTATACTCATATTACGAGAGTTAGTGAGGTTAAACCGCTAAATGAGTTAGTTAGTCGAACCACTTAACCGAGTTATTGGTTGTCGTTAAATGTGTGTAGAACCGGAAGCGATTATTCCCGATTCCCTAGCTGCTTTATCTTTGTGTCGTTTATATTTTTAGTTGATTATTGTTTTAGTTTATTTCTCAAGTAATAATTCATCAATTGCCTTCCTCGAGAGATCGACTCGGGGGAACGAATCTTTCGATTCGGTGCTTGGTAAAATAAAAATAATTTGCTACAACAAAAGGAAAAAGGAGGAACAAGCACACTTGGAGAGCGCAGTACAACGGAGAGTTGTATGCTGCGTTCGGGAAGGATGAATTGCTCCCGAAAAGGAATCTATTGATTCTCTTCCAATTAGTTGGACCGTAGGTGCGATAATTTACTTCACGGGCGAGGTCTCTGGTTCAAGTCCAGGATGGCCCAGCTGCGCCAGGGAAAAGAATAGAAGAAGCATCTGACTACTTCATGCATTAATTTCGATAATTTAAATTTCCAACTATTCCAGTGAATGCCACTTGAGCTGTCTTCCATAGTTTTCCACCAAAATTGGGCACAAAGTCTAGAGATTTCCTTGCAAATAGACTGTGGCAGTTTGAAGCAATACATAGTGAATACAGGAAGTGCTTAGATGACTACCTTTGAAAGGATTTCCTTTCCTGCAGATAATAAGAGTTTGGACTTCCACCCTTGCAACTTCATTTGAATAGATTCCAGCAAATAAGCAAACACCTCCTTCTTAGACCTGCTAATGCCAAGAGGTAAACCCAAATATCTAGTGGATTTGTGGGGTCGAATGCCATGTAAAGCTGAGCAAATTCCTTGTTGAATGTAGGTGGGAGTATTCCTACTGAAGAAGATGGTTGACTTGTGAAGATTTACTGGCTGACCAATAAATTATTCAACAAATTTAAGAGTACTTCTGCTTGATCTACTCTAGCCTTACAAAAAAACAAGGAGTCATCTACAAACAGCAGATGAGACAGAAGAGGTCCATTTCTAGAAATTTTCATACCCTGCAGATGACCCAAGTTTACAGCTTTCAGAATAAGAGCAGATAGTGATTCAACAATGATAATGAACAGATATGGGGATAAAGGATCCCCCTTGAAGGTTTAATAAACCCACAAACAACTCCATTCACCTTAAAAGAGAGAGTAGTAGAGGAAATACACACCAAGATAAGCTTCACAAAATCTCTGTGGAATCCCATCTGAGTCATGATTTGTTTAAGACTGAGTCACTCCACTCTATCAAAGGCCTTCATTAAGTCAAGCTTGAGAGCCATAAACCAGTTCTTACCTCAAGCGTGTCTATTTAAGAAAGGAAAAGCTTCTTATGCAATGATAACATTGTCCATCAACTATCTTCCCTTAAGGAAAGCTGACTGAGAATGGCTTATGCAGCTATCCAAACAGGATTTCAGTCTCTGAGCAAGTATTTTAGAAAGCACTTTATAGACCACTGTGCAAAGACTAATTGGCCTGAACTGATTTAAAGATTCAGGAATAGAACACTTAGGGATTAAATATAAGATAGTATGGTTCCAATAGTGCAACAAATTCTCATATTAAAAAAAAACTCTTAATAGCAGAGATAAAATCAACTTTAATCAATTCCTAAAAATGTTGATAGAAGAGAGCATTCATACCATCTTCACCCGGATATTTATCTAGATGCAATTGAAAAATAGCTTCCTTGATTTCTGCTTCAACCACTGGCATTAAAAGGACTTGGTTTATATCATTTGTGATGGAATGAGGAATCAGATGTAAGAGGAGTCACCCCCATATGAGCCTTCAGTGGCAAAGAGATTGGAGTAGAATTCTTCAATGTGAGTCTCCATTTCCTGCTGAGTACAAAATTCTTCCCCTCTTATGGATACCAGTCTTGAAATAGCATTCATTCTTCTCCTCTGTTGGGCATAGGCATGAAAAATTTTGGTGTTGCCATCCCCATTCTTGAGCCATGTAAGTCTAGACTTCTGTTGCTAATAAGTCTCTTCAAAATGGTGAGCTCTGTTAAGTTCTTTCCTGGTCTCTGCCCACTCTTCCCATTTAGACTCTGAAGTATCCCCTCTAAGGTTTTCTAACTTATTAGTAAGAGCAACAATGTACAATTGGTTCTGAGAATGAAAGGTGGAACTCCACTGATGTAAAGCCAGTCTGGTGTGCTTGACTTTTTCCTTGAGTTTGAAGAAGGGGGTTCCCTGAACCATTGTGAGCCAAGCCTTTTCCACCACCTCTGACAATCCATCCCTACCAATCCCCTTTTGTCAAATGAGAATCTTCTTGGATTTCTAATTCTGTTCCCTGGGTCAATGAGCGGAAGAGAGTGATCTGAGGAGCTTTTAACCATATTAAGGACTTTAACATTTGGATATGCTTATAACCAATCCATAGACCCAAAATCTCTGTTAAGTTTTTCCTCCATTGTGCCTCATGTGATCTTATTATTGCACCATGTGTACCGGTATCCCATCATTTTAAGGGAAAATTACACTTTACCTACCGAACTATTCGCATTTTTACACTTTGCCCACCAATCTTTTTCCGGCGACACTTTAACCGTTGAACTTCAGGATTTGTTACACTTACCGACTTCCGGCCATCGAACTCGCAAAATGAAGGGCAAAGTCGACCTTTCAGGTACTAATTTTGGACAAGGTTGTCCTTTTACAGATACAAACAATCGACCCTCTCTATAAAGTACCAAAATCAGATTTTATGAAGATCAATCCCTAAATCCCCAAATCAGAATTCTAGGGCAAAGAAAAAGAGAAGAAAATGTGGAGGCAGACATCGGAGGTGACCTTGGATGAGTATTGCAATTGTGGAAAGAGGACGGTGATGGTGACGTCGTGGACGGACAACAACCCTGGAAGGCGATACACGACGTGCAAATGGGTACGAATATTTTTTTTCGAAATTCAGTGGCAAAATTTTGAGAATGGTTGGATTGTTCTTGATTTGTTTTTATTTTACATTGACTTGATATTTGTTCTTGATTTGTTATTACATTGACTTAATTTGTTCAAGAGTGGTTGCAAAGGGGTACGAATTTTTTTTTTCGAAATTCAGTGGCAAACGTTTTGAGAATGGTTGGACTGTTCTTGATTTGTTTTTATTTTACATTGAATTGATATATTTTCTTGATTTGTTCAAGAGTGGTTGCAAACATTTTGTGTGGATCGACCCTCCAATGTGTACAAGAGCTCGACAAATTATCCCTGGACTTTTGAGACGCATTAATCTGGCAGAAGCTGAATTGGCAAGCCAGAAAAAAAAGTGGTTGTGGTGTGCTATTGTTATTTCATGGATCATGATGTTTTTCCTTCTTAAGAAGTAGGCAGGCTAAGTTGTTATGGTGTTAGACTTGTTTTGTTATCTTTGTTTTGGGTGGAGTGGTTGTGGTGTGGCTAAGTTCTGAAGTGAAGTATGAAGTGGTTTGTGTAAGACTTATTCAAATGTTTGGTGTAATGTGGTTTGTGATTCAAATGGTTTGTGTAATGAATGTGGGATTTTGGTATTGTAAGGCTTTTGTAAGACCGGTTCAATTTGTATGGAATCTGTTTGGATACCTTAAAACTTACTTTACATATGTGTATGCAATGATTGATCTTGATTTGTTTGAACTTGGTTTGTGTAGTGTTTTAACCTGTTCAAATTTTGTGTAAACTTTGTGTATGTGTAATGAACTTGGTTCACTGATCTATCATTAATCTGTCATTAATGAATTTGGTTCAATTTGTTTGAATGTGATAGAACATGTTCACAACACAACACATTAATCTGCTTCAATTTTGCCTAACTATCCAAAACCTACACAAAGTTGCTTGAACTATATCAAATGAAACTGCAAACACAAATGCCATTATCCAAAGTGCTATTAATAATGAACTGAAGAAAATCACAAATGTCATTGTATCAAAACCAAAGATCACCATAATGTCATCATTACAATCACCAACATTGTATACTGAGGAAAATCACCACAATTGTATCAAAAGTACACCAACAAAGTTTTCAAATAACACCACTGACACAAAGTTTAGAAAATAACACCAACAAAGTACACCAATTCTGGGGCATGCTACTTCTGTTGGCTCTTTTTGGGGGAGAAGGTACTACTTCTGGTCACTCTTTTTGGTGGAGGTTCTTTAGGTGGTACTTGATTTGCACTAGTCTGGCTTGAGGTCACAGGTGGCTTGGTTGTGGAGAATCTCACATTATTTTTGCTGCTTCTTGGGTTTTGACCTATTGGCTGAGTAAAGGCCTTTGGTTTTCCACAAGTGCTACTTCTTGTCATTCTTTTCTCTTGAGTGAAAATGTTCAGTTTTGATTTAGATGATGCACTCTGACAAACAAAAAATAAGAAAAACAGTTAGGCAGCTAAAAACAGTTTTTGATTTAGATGATGGACTACACATTGTACCTTTCTTTCTCCATTAAGTGCACTTGATGTAGCATAAGTGACAACCACCGACACATTTACACCACTACTTGTACCTTCAAGACCTTTTTCCTTATTCTTCTTCAAAACAACAAAAACATTAGTGACAAACTCCCATAATCAGAAGCCACATAAAAACTCACAAGAGTAAAACAATTGATTGATATAATATGTACCTTCCTTTTTCCATTAGGTGCACCTTCAAAACCTGTTGAGGTACCTTCAAAACCTCTTTTGTTTCTCTGAAAAGCAAGAAAACATATCATGTCCTTGAATTGTGATTTTGTTGCTTGCAAATTGAGCAAGAAAAAACATATCAGTTGATGTACCTTTCCTTTTCCACTAACCACTGGCTCAGTCTGAGATTGTTTATTTGTCTGAGATTCTTTTCCTAATGACAAAGCAAACAAAAAAATATATCATACACTAATCAGAGCACAAAGTGAGTTAACATAAAGTAATCACCTTTTCATTGAGAATGGTTGGATTGTTCTTGATTTGTTTTTATTTTACATTGACTTGATATTTGTTCCTGATTTGTTATTGATACGTGAGAAATCTTGTAATATTTTGTGAGCTAATTTACATATTTGAGTATTTGATTTTAGTGTATTATTCAAGTTTTCTCGCATATTTTATTGTGTGAATGGACATACACCAATATTCGATTTTGTGTTTATTTTGCAGTTATTACACCTATACGTGACGTGGAATTGTTGACTTGGCGTGACAAATTAAAAGAGAGCCGATTGCCTCTCATTTATGGTTGGACTTTGGATTAGTTACTTGTGCAAGTGAATTATTTTTTTGTGGTCTCTCACTTGTTGACCGGATAGAGAATTTGTAGTGGCATGGACTCATTTTATTTAAGGAGTGGGCAAAGGAATATGATTTTGGGTGGACTCTTAATTGGTGAGGGGCTGATTTGGCGTGGCATCAGGGAGTTGGAGAGAATAAGGGGAGTGTTACAAAATAATTGAGGGTCATGTTGGAGCATTAAGCCGTGGGATAGAGACCATTCCAGGGAGTTTGAATTACTTTTTTTTATTTTGCTTTTCTATTTTATTTGAAGAACATGATGGATATTTATTTTTGTTTTTATCATTTAGCTATGTGTAGCTAAATTTTTATTCGGTTCTAGGGACGTTGAACCCTCGATGACTATGTTTGATTAATGCTATTTATTTTGTTTTACTCGTCGTATAAAATTGTTTGTGTTATTCTAGTTTCATGTCATAATGTGTGATTTTTGATTTAGCTTGATCACGTAATTTAGGAATTGCATGTTTGTTGCTAGAGTTCAGGCTTCGATCCGTAATTGTCGTAGTTCTTAATTCAATTGTAGCAACTAACAGTCGTGCATTGTTAGGGATAACACAACATAAGTTACATGAACCGAGCTTGTGTGTTTGTGGCTTAGATCGGTCTATTTTCCTTGATTTTAATGCGACTAGTGGATTAAATTAGGAGAGCTTATTCCGAGTTATTCGCTAGTTAGAATTAATTGAAGAGCCTATTTCGATTAAGTATAAATTAAGGGAAAATTCGGGTAGCAGAGCTTATTGCTATCTAGGACCGGTAGTTTTAGAAGATGAGTGAAATTTGATAAATTCATTAATTGGACTAGTTATTCGAGGGTGTAGACAGACTTGGGACCGATTTCATTCTCATTTTTATTAGATTATTTGTTTATTTTCGAATTCCTCATCATTTGCATTTTAGTCATTTATTTCTAGTTTCTAGTTTAATTTCTCTTTTTGTTAGTAGTTTCGTTTCTAATCAAACCCCCTCAATTTTTGCTTAAAACTAATTAATATAATAAAATCACGGTTTATACCACACTCCCTGTGGGATCGACCCTTGCTCGCCACTACTACTAGTTAGTAGGGGTTAGACGAGGAAAAATTATAAATTCAAATTTGCCGTGTAACAACGCGCGGTCAAATTTTGGCGCCGTTGCCGGGGAGTGGTGCGATATAAATAGTGATTTTATTTGTGTTAGTTAGTATTTTTTTGTGTAAATTTTCGTTTTTCACTTGAATTTTTTGGTGTGAATTTTCGCTGCTATTCTGTTATCGCCCCCGGTGATAACAGAAAATACGTCGGGTTTTTACGTCAAATTATTTCCGAATTTTATCACGTTTGAGCTAAACTTTTTCTTGATTTCTGTAGGTGAATGAAAACAAGGTCTTCAGGGGCTGAAGACTTGGAATATTATTCAGAGATCACGAGACGAAATACCGAGCTAAGGAAGAAAGCTCAACAAGAGAAGGAGGCGATTCTCAACAAGGGTTTCCAGTTCGAAATCGAAAGCGAGGACGTAGAGGACGGAAGTGAGAGTGACCAGAGCCAAGAACACACCAATCTCATCACCGAGAACACAACAATGGCGAACGAGGAGCATACTTTGAGGCAACTTGCTAATGCCGTACTACCTCAACAACCTTTGTGCATAACTTTCCCGGAGATGAATGATACCACGTTCGAGCTGAAGTCCGGGCTTATCCATTTGGTGCCTTCATTCCATGGTCTCGCTGGTGAGGACCCACACAAACATCTGAAGGAGTTTCACACGGTGTGCTCTAGCATGAAACCCACCGGGGTTACCGAAGAGCAAGTTAAGCTACGCGCTTTTCCATTTTCTCTCAAGGATGTTGCAAAGGATTGGCTTTATTACTTGCCTTCGGGATCTATCACTACATAGGCAGAGTTGGAGAGGACTTTTCTCCAGAGGTATTTTCCGGCGATACGAGTCGCCGCTCTTCGGAAAGAAATTTGTGGAGTGCGACAGATGCAAGGGGAGACATTGTACGAGTACTGGGAAAGGTTCAAGAGGCTAGTCGCGAGCTGTCCACAGCACCAGATGGCCGACCAACTATTGATCCAATACTTTTATGAGGGCCTCTTACTCATGGTGAGGAATATGCTAGATCCAGCTAGTGGCGGTGCACTTATGGACAAAACTCCTACGGCGGCACGAGAGTTAATTGCCAACATGGCAGCTAATTCTCAACAGTTTGGTACTCGTGGTATCTTGCAGAGGCCGGCTCAAGAAGAAGGGACTGAATCGTTACAAGCACAAATCAAGGAGTTAACTTCTGTGGTTCGCCAGTTGGCTGTGGGTCAAGCATCGAGGGTCCGACCATGTGGCCTATGCGAGACGGTGGATCACACCACCGAGGACTGTCCATGGACAGTGAGCACGACGGAGGCCCATGCCAATGCAGTTGGGGCGAACAATGGTGTCGGACGTAACTACGACCCATTCTCAAACACTTATAATCCTGGGTGGCGAGATCATCCGAATTTGAGGTGGGGAAACAATAGTGGCAACCAGTTTGGGGAGCAAGACCGAAGGCAGCCCCAAAACTTTCAAATGGGACAAGGCTATCAAAGGTACCAAGGCACGGGGGAGCACAACACTCACCCTCCACCGAATGAATCATCTTCAGATATGAAGAAGCTTATAGAAAGCATGGCGTCCAGCCTTAAGAACTTAGAGGGGCAAGTGTCCTCATTGTCGAATCACGTGAACAAGTTGTAGTCGCAAGTGAACTCCAAACTATCGTCCCAAGCAGAGACGAATCCAAGGAATGTCAGCGCCATCACATTGAGAAGTGGTAAAGAGCTCCCAGCCCCCGAGGGTCCTATTCCATCGAAGGAAGATGCAGACGAGAAAGAAGATGGTGAAAATACTCGAGATTCTGCTGTTACCGCCCCCCTGATAACAGAACTGCTGGAGGAAAAATGAAAGGAAAGGCCATCGAAACCGAGCCGAGGTGGACTGAGCCTTTGCCGTTTCCATCGAGAATCAAGAAGCATCAGAAGCACGATGCCGGGAAGAAGATCTTGGACATTTTCAGAAAGGTCGAGGTCAATATTCCCTTAATCGACGCCATAAAGCAAGTTCCAAAATATGCGAAGTTTCTGAAGGATTTGTGCACGAATAAGCGGCGATTGAAGGGGGATGAGAAGGTGATAATGGGCGAGAACGTATCAGCCGTTTTCCAGAAGAGCTTACCACAGAAGTGTTAGAGTAGGGTACCCGGCGTTCCAATCTAATTGGACGTATTCTACTTGTAAATACAGTCTATTGGAATTATATTATGAATAAGGCATTTCTTTATCTTAAGAGAAAGCATTTATCTTATAATTGCACTTAAGATAAATTCCCTAGATCACTTATGGTATAAGGTATGGTTGCGAATCCACCATGGATAACTTGAAGAAAAGGGAAGTAATAAGTCGAGCCAACGACAATAAAAAAAGGCGCTAGTTGGGAGGCAACCCAATATTTGTTTTTTTTATTAGTATTAGTATTTTGATTAGTTCAATTTTATCTCTACGGTTGAATTATTGTTTCAGAAGAGCAGCGACACGGACCTGGTGGTGCTGAAAGAATGTAATTTTGAGCTAAACGATGAAGAGAATGAAGGACAAGTCGAGACGGAGCAGAACCGTACTGCTACCGCCTCCCCCGATAACTGTTCGAGTGGAATTTCTACTGCTACCGTCTCCCCCAATAACAGCCCACTCGAAGATCCGGTCGGGCACCAGACTTGCACCGACGAGTCAAGGAGCGATAGAGGACTCACAGCAGCAGCGAGCAAAGAGGACCACCCGTCGATGATCTGGTGATTTCGATTCCCTTATTGTGCTTTATAGTAGAGATTAAGTTTGGGGAGATTTTGTTGACGGGTATAGTTGTGTCATTTTTCTATGCATATATGTTTGCTTGGTTTGCTTTTTGATTTGGTTAGGGTCATATTTGGTTGTTTTTGCTTAGATAGCTGCTTTGCTTTTGATCTAGAAAAAAATATAACCTAGAATCACATCTTCATTATCTACCTGAACTCGGAACATGCCGTTGCGAAGCGGAAAAAAATTGATTGAGTTTTTGGTGTGTCGTATGTGGAATTTCGCAATGATGAATTGAGTGTTTGTTGGAATTATTGTGCTAGTTATGATGACTTGGGTTAATAATTTCTGGTTAAATTCTTGAATTGTTGTCATTTGAGGGACAAAGACATGACGGTTGACATTTATGTATTTTATTTGTAGTGAGTTGGTCTTGAACTGTTTATATTCTTGAAATGTGCTGGTGACTATTCTGCTTGATGTCGATTGTGTGAGGTAACTTGACGTGGAAAGGTAGGAGTTGATTGTCTCGAAAAAAAAAAGAAAAAATAGAAAGAAAAAAAAAAGGGAGAAGGTGTGAATAATGAATGTGGAGGAAAAAGAATAATGGGTGTTGAAAAAAAAAATGATTGTGGGCTGCAACAGCTGCCAGTCTGTGAAGCTTTAGTGCATAACTCTCGCATGAATAGCTAAATACCATGGACTGTGACGGAGCTGCCGTTCCCAAAAAAAAAAAAAGAAAAAAAGAAAAGCAAAAAAAGCGAGACTTTTGATTTCTGGCTAGAAGCGAAGAGGAACTAAACCGGTTGGCAAAGAAAGGGATGTCGTTAGTTGCATGATTGGTATATTCGGTGAAGAGATTGATGAGCTGCGGTAATTCACCGAATTGATATTTGATTGTTGGCGTTTTAAAGATGCTTTCATTTCGAGTCCGAGATTATTAATTTGGGAAGTTGTAACTATGCTTTATGTGAGACGTGTGAGGACCTGAGCGAAAATTTCACGTACGTGATTGTTGTGTCCGTTTTTGTGTTTCTAGTTCTATGTTGCTTGAGGACAAGCAGCGCTTTAAGTTTGGGGAGATTTGATACGTGAGAAATCTTGTAATATTTCGTGAGCTAATTTACATATTTGAGTATTTGATTTTAGTGTATTATTCAAGTTTTCTCGCATATTTTATTGTGTGAACGGACATACACCAATATTCGATTTTGTGTTTATTTTGCAGTTATTACACCTATACGTGACGTGGAATTGTTGACTTGGCGTGGCAAATTAAAAGAGAGCCGATTGCCTCTCATTTTTTGTTGGACTTTGGATTAGTTACTTGTGCAAGTGAATTATTTTTTTGTGGTCTCTCACTTGTTGACCGGATAGAGAATTTGTAGTGGCATGGACTCATTTTATTTAAGGAGTGGGCAAAGGAATATGATTTTGGGTGGACTCTTAATTGGTGAGGGGCTAATTTAGCGTGGCATCAGGGAGTTGGAGAGAAAAAGGGGAGTGTTACAAAAAAATTGAGGGTCATGTTGGAGCATTAAGCCGTGGGATAGAGACCATTCCAGGGAGTTTGAATTACTTTTTTTATTTTGCTTTTCTATTTTATTTGAAGAACATGATGGATACTTATTTTTGTTTTTATCATTTAGCTATGTGTAGCTAAATTTTTATTCGGTTCTAGGGACGTTGAACCCTCGATGACTATATTTGATTAATGCTATTTATTTCGTTTTACTCGTCGTATAAAATTGTTTGTGTTATTCTAGTTTCATGTCATAATGTGTGATTTTTGATTTAGCTTGATCACCTAATTTAGGAATTGCATGTTTATTGCTAGAGTTGAGGCTTCGATCCGTAATTGTCGTAGTTCTTAATTCAATTGTAGCAACTAACAGTCGTGCATTGTTAGGGATAACACAACATAAGTTACATGAACCGAGCTTGTGTGTTTGTGGCTTAGATCAGTCTATTTTCCTTGATTTTAATGCGACTAGTGGATTAAATTAGGAGAGCTTATTCCGAGTTATTCGCTAGTTAGAATTAATTGAAGAGCCTATTTCGATTAAGTATAAATTAAGGGAAAATTCGGGTAGCAGAGCTTATTGCTATCTAGGACCGGTAGTTTTAGAAGATGAGTGAAATTTGATAAATTCATTAATTGGACTAGTTATTCGAGGGTGTAGACAGACCTGGGACCGATTTCATTCTCATTTTTTTTAGATTATTTGTTTATTTTCGAATTCCTAATCATTTGCATTTTAGTCATTTATTTCTAGTTTCTAGTTTAATTTCTCTTTTTGTTAGTAGTTTCGTTTCTAATCAAACCCCCTCAATTTTTGCTTAAAACTAATTAATATAATAAAATCACGGTTTATACCACACTCCCTGTGGGATCGACCCTTGCTCGCCACTACTACTAGTTAGTACGGGTTAGACAAGGAAAAATTATAAATTCAAATTTGCCGTGTAAAGACGCGCGGTCAGTTATTACATTGACTTGATTTTTTCAAGAGTGGTTGCAAAGGGGTACGAATTTTTTTTTTCGAAATTCAGTGGCAAACGTTTTGAGAATGGTTGGACTGTTTTTGATTTGTTTTTATTTTACATTGACTTGATATTTGTTCTTGATTTGTTCAAGAGTGGTTGCAAACATTTTGTGTGGATCGACCCTCCAATGTGTACAAGAGCTCGACAAATTATCTCTTGACTTTTGAGACGCATTAATCTGGCAGAAGCTGAATTGGCAAGCAAGAAAAAAAAGTGGTTGTTGTGTGCTATTGTTATTTCATGGATCATGATGTTTTTCCTTCTTAAGAAGTAGGCAGGCTAAGTTGTTATGGTGTTAGACTTGTTTTGTTATCTTTGTTTTGGGTGGAGTGATTGTGGTGTGGCTAAGTTCAAAAGTGAAGTATGAAGTAGTTTGTGTAAGACTTGTTCAAATGTTTTGTGTAATGTGGTTTGTGATTCAAATGGTTTGTGTAATGAATGTGGGATTTTGGTTTGTAAGGCTTTTGTAAGACCTGTTCAATTTGTATGGAATGTGCTTGGATCACTTAAAACTTACTTTACATATGTGTATGCAATGATTTATCTTGATTTGTTTGAACTTGGTTTGTGTAGTGTTTTAACCTGTTCAAATTTTGTGTAAACTTTGTGTATGTGTAATGAACTTGGTTCACTGATCTATCATTAATCTGTCATTAATGAATTTGGTTCAATTTGTTTGAATGTGATAGAACCTGTTCACAAGACAACACATTAATCTGTTTCAATTTTGCCTAACTATCCAAAACCTACACAAAGTTGCTTGAACTATATCAAATGAAACTGCAAACACAAATGCCATTATCCAAAGTGCCATTAATAATGAGATCTGAAGAAAATCACAAATGTCATTGTATCAAAACCAAAGATCACCATAATGTCATCATAACAATCACCAACATTGTATACAGAACAATCACCACAATTGTATCAAAAGTACACCAACAAAGTTTTCAAATAACACCACTGACACAAAGTTTAGAAAATAACACCAACAAAGTACACCAATTCTGGGGCATGCTACTTCTGTTGGCTCTTTTTGGGGGAGAAGGTACTACTTTTGGTCACTCTTTTTGGTGGAGGTTCTTTAGGTGGTACTTGATTTGCACTAGTCTGGCTTGAGGTCACAGGTGGCTTGGTTGTGGATTTCTGCTGCTTCTTGGGTTTTGACCTATTGGCTGAGTAAAGGCCTCTGGTTTTCCACGAGTGCTACTTCTTGTCATTCTTTTCTCTTGAGTGAAAATGTTCAGTTTTGATTTAGATGATGCACTCTGACAAACAAAAAATAAGAAAAACAGTTAGGCAGCTAAAACCAGTTTTTGATTTAGATGATGGACTACACATTGTACCTTTCTTTCTCCATTAGGTGCACTTGATGTAGCATTAGTGACAACCACAGGCACATTTACACCACTACTTGTACCTTCAAGACCTTTTTCCTTATTCTTCTTCAAAACAACAAAAACATTAGTGACAAACTCCCATAATCAGAAGCCACATAAAAACTCACAAGAGTAAAACAATTGATTGATATAATATGTACCTTCCTTTTTCCATTAGGTGCACCTTCAAAACCTGTTGATGTACCTTCAAAACCTCTTTTGTTTCTCTGAAAAGCAAGAAAACATATCATGTCCTTGAATTGTGATTTTGTTGCTTGCAAATTGAGCAAGAAAAAAACATATCAGTTGACGTACCTTTCCTTTTCCACTAATCACTGGCTCAGTGTGAGATTGTTTATTTGTCTGAGATTCCTTTTCTTAATGACAAAGCAAACAAAAAAATATATCATACACATAATAGTAATCAAAACACAAAGTGAGTTAACATAAAGTAATCACCTTTCCATTGGTAGTAGCTGCTGGCACATCCAGACCTTGATTGGTGGGTCTACTTTGTGGGTTTTTATGGCAGCCCCTTGAATTGTGATTTGGTTGCTTGCAAATTGAGCACTTCATGACAACTCCTCTTTTGGTCAGTTTCAAACCAGTAGCAGTTTCTACCACTTTCTTTTTTCCTTTTGCTTCATCCTCGCCTTTTCTTCTATTATACTTTTTGGGCCTCCTAGGTAGGTTTCCAACAACTGGTGGGATCAATGGTAGGTTTTTCACCTCTGGCCACTCATCAGATCCAGCTATAGTTCTCATTAAGTGACTATACACCCTCAGATATGTTTCTTTTTTGTATGCATCATCCACATAATCCTCTGGGTTATGATCCAAGTAGTACATTCCTGATATAGCATGTGCACAAGGAATTCCACTGAGCTCCCACTTTCTGCAGGAGCAAGTTTTTTCCCCAATGTGCACCCTGAACTTTGTACCTGAGCTGCCCTCAACCTCAAACTGATCTTCCCCATTCTAATAGCAAACAAACTCAATGCTCTTTTTTTTTCTGAAATCTTCAAGCATTTTCTCAATTCTTGGACACAGTTGCCCATGGTGCTTTCTCATTTGATCCCTCTTTGAATGAATTCTCTTCATTAGAGACAGTCTTATCATCTCCAACATCTTGACTATTGGCTGAGCTCTAGCCCTCACAATAGAAGCATTAAAACTTTCAAAGAGATTATTGAGCAACACATCACATTTTGAATGTGTGCTGAAATGAGACCTAGACCAATTTGCAGGTGGTCTAGCATTTAACCAGTCAAACACAGCTACATCTCTCTATTTCAGCTCAATCATAGCCTTTTGAAAATCCTGAACTCTTGTGGCTCTTGCAGCTTTCCACAACAAGCTCTTAAGAGCCAAACCCTTATGTGAGGCTTTAAAGTTAGCATAGAGATGTTGAACACAAAACCTATGCTCAGCCCCAGGTAAGAGAGTGTCAATGGACTCTACCAAACTCTTTTGCTTGTCTGACATAAAGGTCCAATGGTATGGGTTGGTTATTTTCACATCCTCAATCAACAACTCTAAAAACCAGCCCCAAGATTTTTTTTTCTCTTTTTCAACCACTGCATATGCCACTGGATACATGCCATTATTTCCATCTATGCCCACAGCAGTCAACAAGACTCCCCAAATTGAAGTCTTTAAGTGACATCCATCTAGAAACAACACTGGTCTTCACCCATCTAACAATCTATCCCTTAAAACCCGTATAACCTCTTAAAAGAGGTTTGTTCCCCAAGCAATTTACATTTGATTTTAATTGTAGTGCCTAGATTTTTGTCTCTGATTTCAGCAGCATAAGACCACAACAAACCAAATTGTTCATGATGGCCATCAGACCCAGATGCTAACACCTTTTTCTTAGCCCTATAGAGTTGGCTATTGTTGAAAAGAAGCTTGTTTTCACCTTGCATGATTTTCATCATAGAATGAACAGGCCAAGTAGGGTCAGACCATATTTTTTCCTTATAAGTTTCAGTTAACCACCTAGAGTTGGCATGAGATACTCTTTGACTCCTAGGGCACTTGTGTGTAGGGTTATACTTTCTAACCTGCACACTGTCCTCACTTGACAAAAGTGCAGCATAAATGAGCCATGGACAATTACTGTGCTTACATTTTACTTGGACCTTGATTTTCTCATTAATACTAAAAGTTACATCTCTGCCATTCTTTATTGCACTCTGCCTCACTGCTTTCTTAAACTGAGCCATATCAGGGAAAAACATTCCTATTTCAAATTTAGGTTCACTCATATTTGTCCTCCCATTGAAAACTACATGACCCTTGTGACCTTTACTACTGTCCTCATTGTTCCATTCCTTGCCTGACTGTGAGATGTCTCAGTCCCTAATCCCCCAAACTCCACATCAAAATCAATATTATCATAAAAAAAAATTGATCATCATTATTTACATCAGATGTTTCACCTTCACTATCTATCAAAATCTCAGATAACTCAGAATCTGCCCCCAAAGATTGCTCATCATCATCAGAATCACTATTCAAACTATTATCAAGTTCATTCATACCCACAGCAGAAGGGTTTTCATTCATCAAGTATTGATCATTATCACCTATAAAATCCAAACCTTCAGAAACTGCAGGAAGTTCAGTTTCATGATCCACATACAAAGCAACTATTCTATCTACATCCTTCATGAAACACATTTGCATGACATCATTATCATTTTCCAACAATATTAAGTCATTGCAGTCATTAACTCCACCCCTACTGCAATATACACCTTTAATTGAATTCAACCCTAATTCACCTATCATGCTCATTACCTCGATCAGTAACATTTCATCGGGATGGCAAAAATCGACATGTGAGACTCCACCATTCAAATACATCTTGCAGCCTAAATCCACAAATTGGCCGCCATGGTAAACCCTAATAGTGAAATATTCATCATTTTCACCTGCAAGAGAAACAAAAAATGGTGTAAACACTTAACCCCAACCCCAGTCCAACACAAGATCATAAACAAAACAATAAGCAATCAAAACTGACAGAGAACTTCAAATTGAAAAAACACAAAAGGCTTACCATACTCTGGGGGATCCATATCCTTCTTCTCGTGTAATTTCCAAACCATTGCTTGAAAAGGCGAAAAAATGCAGCTCCAATTTGAGAATTTCGCTCTTTTCGTTCGATTTTTCGAAGTGGTCATGCTTTTTAGTGTAAAATTAGGGTTATGAATGATTTCAATTCTGCGTTTTCCTATTTCAAAGTAATTTAGTACCTGAAAGGTCGACTTTGCCCTTCATTTTGCGAGTCCGATGGCCGGAAGTCAGTAAGTGTAACAAATCCTAAAGTTCAAGGGTTAAAGTGTCGCCGGAAAAAGATTGGTGGGCAAAGTGTAAAAATGCAAATAGTTCGGTAGGTAAAGTGTAATTTTCCCTCATTTTAATCTCCTCCATTTCCATCTGACTGATGAAGTTGTTAAAACCTAGGAAACTGCCACAGAGTCTGGTTAATCTGTAACGCCCTGTTGATTTTTAAAGAAAATCTATGGCTTTTCCTAAATCATAGTTAATTTTTCGAAACTCATTTTTCGATTTTAAAACATTTTCGGTGTTACTCATTCATTTCATAAAGTAGTTCAAGCCGTGTCTGAACTATCGGGGATTCATTACCCGATTTTCACAAGGATATCATTATCCAACATCACAATCATTATCATAACATCATAGGCATAGCATCATAATAAACCAATTCCTCAAGTTTCATAGCATGCAAACAAACCGACACATTGTTTTTTTTAAATACAATCCATCGCCAAAACATAATCCACAATTTTTCCAAAACATCATTGTTTGAAAAATAATGACAATTTCAACATAATCATCATGAAAGCAGAAGCGTAAATAAATCATAAATGCAGACCGACCACTTGTCTCCTCGTCGCCATGCCTGTCACCTGCTCAACCTGAAAGGGGGGAGTCATGGGAGTGAGCACACCACTTGCTCACTACTATGCACATAAATTAAATATATATGACATATAGGTATGGTCGCAGCACGAACATGAATGAATCAACATATCACATTTCCTAAACATATAATACACATGTGCACATCTTTCATTAGCCATTGAAGGGGATTCATTACCCGACAGTGGGAATACATGTCAAATGCCTTACATCACACAACGACATGGCCTTTCATTAGGTCTTAGAGAGACTGTCTTTCATTAAGAACCGTATTACATCGACGGGGATAACCGTTCGACAGCCGAAACAACATACATCGAAGATTACATGGTTCACACGCATACATTAATCACACCATCAAAACAAATAGAAACAACTTACGACATAGACATTTAAATAAACCCACCTGGACACTTAAGCAGTAGGGAAGCGCGATTTGCTGTGTAGGGTGAGAGCTCGGCTCGTCAGACACCTACATATTATCAAGATAGTCTTATCAACACACTATCCTGACACTTAGAATTATACACGAACATTCATACTTAGTCGAACATCATTGACTAAGTAGTTCATGGAACTTTTAGAGTTTGGAACATTTGGATTTAACAACTAGACTCAAAAAAACCATTTAAAAGCATTAAAAATAGACTCAACACGAAAAACAGGGTTAACGGGTCAAAGATAGGTCACACGACTAGGAAAAAACTAAAATCGGGTTCAATCGGACTGGCACGGGGCATTCATATGAAATTTTAACCACATATAATAAACTCAAAAAGAGATAAACACACGAAAGGATGACCCTTAAATATCACCCCAACGTATAAAACGAATTTTTGCAAAATAGGCGGCATAATATGAGGTTTTTAGTTCAATAGGCTACAGATCGAATTTTGATTTGAATGTTTTACAGCACGCCAGACATCCTAAAGTATGCTGAACATAAAAATTTCAGGTCAAATGGCCAGTTGGATTAATTTATCTAATTTTTCAAAGAATCGGGGAAAAATCAACCAAGCTTGGTTCAGGCACTTATACAACGAATTAAATTATGGGATTTTATCCACATGCTCAACATGACATAAGAATCCAAACCTTAGAAAATCAAACAATTTGGACGTGCCAATTATTAATCACCAATTTTAAAAAATTTACGGCATAAATCAAAAAATTTATTTTATTTAGCTATAGGCCGAATTAAAGTCTAAAATTTTAACAAGATACTCTTCTTCATAAAAGGAGATGACCCTCAAAAGTTTAAGTCATTTGGACGAACGTACGATTTTTAATGCTTTTTCAAAGATACAGGCCAAAACAACAAGTAATCAGTTCACATAGCTATCATTCGAATTTTGATCTGAAAATTTTACACAAGGGACTATATCAACAGAGGGTTCACCGTCAAAATTTCACACAAAAAGGCCGAGTATTCGATTTTTAACAATTTTTCCAAGTTTCAGCAGTAAGATTGATTTTTTAAATTCATAACTCATTCAAAACACATCAAAATCGTCCAAGGCCTTCACCATTAGGCCAAGGACAGACCCAAGTTCCATAATCCACAAGGTTTCTACGAAATCAAACCTGATCGATCGGTTTCTTCAATAAACCGAATAGATCACAACACGAATTCATATAACATATCATTTAAAATACCAATACACATCAAATAAATTCCAAGGCCAGCATTTAACATCAAATAACATCAAGATGGACAGATATAGCCACCCATTACCGTACTCTTAAGAAAAAGTCCACACAAAGTGAATGGAGGGTCGGTTTGGTGCAAGTGGCGCGCGGGCAGCTCGTCTCGGTTGCAGGCGGTCTCCGGTGGTCGAGGGTTGATGATCGGGGCTCTGATGGTCGGGACTCAATCGAACGGAGGGCCAAGAGATCGATCGCAGATTGAGGCCGATATGTTGCTGCCCTCGGGTAGTCGCGAGCGGGTGTGCGCGGGGGGAGGGGAAGCCGTCGGCGAGCTCGGTGATGGCTGAGATGAGAAGGTAATTGGTGGCGATGGGTTTGAAAAAGTTTCTTGCTGGTTCTTCCGTGCGTGGAGGCGGAGGGTTTTACAGAAAAGAAAAATGCTAAAGGAGCGTGTGGGTGAGGGTTTAAAAAGAGTGGAAAGTCATCCCAATCTTAAGAAGAGAATCAAGGCAATTTTCTTACCAACTAGTACTGACCCGTGCGATGCACGGGATGGTATATTTTTCTGAAACTTTTTTAATAGTAACATTAAATTTAATGCACTTTGTAGATATGTAACAAATGTAAAATGGAAAAACACAAATTTAAAACTTTATAAATTAGTAAACACTTCTTTGTACACAAGGTTTTGGGTCTGATTTGGTGGCAAGTCATCGTCACTACAGACGAATATCTTCAACCCACTTTGGTTGGTGACACGGGAGGCGGCAACATATAATTGACAATGACTGAACACCGGTTTCTTAAGAAATAAACCAACATGCGATAACGACTGTCCTTGGCTCTTATTGATAGTCATGGCATACGAAACCATAATGGAAAATTGTCGCCTCTGAAACTTGAAAAGAATTCTGACATCAGAAGGAGTAATAGCCATTCTAGGAATCAACACCTTCTAGCCTTCGTGATCCCCAGTGAGTATCTTACACTCAAGAACATGAGCGGATAGTTTTGTCACAACCAACTGTGTCCCATTACATAAACCCATAGAATGATCCATATTTTGCAATAACATGATGGGAGTTCCAATCTTCAAATGCAACTGATGATTTGGAATTCCAGAACATTTGATACTATTCAAGAACTCAGGCGTATGGATATCAGAAAGAAAATCATCATTAGAGTCCGACTTGTATGTACTGTCGAAACTTAAGTACGTATTACCTTCTGATAAATTCAACGATGTCATGTATTCATTGATGGACTCAACAACATCCAGCGTCGGTGCTAATATTGCCCTGTCCTTCAAATAACTGAGATCATCAGTCGTCTGCTTAAACATTGGATATGTGCTCTCTACAATTTGAGCAATCGAATCATCAGATGTTTGAAGCAATATCAGTGATATCAGTGATATGAAGCTCTTCAATTTCGCTCTCCAATCCAATCTTGCTGTTGGTCACATAAATCGACGTCTTGTACCATTTGCTAATTGAAAATCTATAAATTAAAATACAAAATTATACAATATATATACAACATCACAAAAATTACATAAATTGGAAATTGTTCTAGAATACTTACTTCTCAAGAAAATCTACAATTTTCGGGATATTAGCAGCAATAAGGTGTGACATCCTGGAATGTAGTCAATTGATACTCACCTGTCGAAAAACAATATATATTAATTTGTAATTTAAACTATATTTAATAACATTATTTATATTGTATTATAAAATAAATAAATCGTAAATTTGAAATACCTGCAATACGTGTTGTCCTTCATAATTGCATAATGAGAACCCATGGTTTTCCATTTGCCTCAGATTCAAAATGATTTTCATAAGCAATAAACTCGTCGACATAATCACCCCAAAGTTTGAAACGCATTAGGAATCCACTATTTAATTACAAAAAAAAAAAATATATTAGATTTTAAACAACTAATATAAATATATAAATCATGTAATAAATATTACTTACTTCAAATCCATCATTGAAAAAACGATCTTTTGCTTTTCTTCTCCACTAATCCGTTTTGAATGAACAGGTTGAACCTTGACAACCATGCCAATAGCATCTACAATATATTTAAAATAAATAAATATCATTTTATTAGTTAATATATCAACAATAAACTGTAAATTAAAATTTAGCACCAATTAAATATTTACCATAAAAGATTGAATCATCCACAATGTCAAAACTTTGGAGATTCGCAAGACTATAGAAGTCAAATTGCCATGTAGGGAAATCGGATATCATCTAAAGAACCTCTGTGTTCCCAAGAATTATGACTTTATAGTCTCCATTAGTAGATCGAAATTTACCAACGTTGATATCTAGTAGGTAGTTGCTTATTACATAGACTTCACCTCCTCGAAATACCCAACGAATACAAGCATACCATGAACTATGCCAGTTATACGGCTACCCTAAAAAACAAAGAAAAATTGTTATTGAGATATAAATTAATCAGTAATCACAAAACAAATTTAATGCACTACAATAACCTCGATATCGTGGAAAACTATTCTAAATTGCTTGGGTAGGCTATGTAGAATACACGAATGACTCTAAGCTTAAGAACGAAACTCATATTCATTTTGAGCTGTTTGTTCAAGCCATATTGGTCCATAGGGTTTTTTTCTTTCCTCGTTAAATGTATGGAGGAATTTTTTTATGAATATGTGAGGGTTGAATGGCGGAGTCTTTGTTTTTTTGGTTATTTATTTATAGTGGTAATAGGCTTTTAATTGGTTGGAAAAATCGAAAATACTAATATAATATAAATTATTTGTAAATCATATTTTATATTCGAACATATTTAATTAGGTCTTAAAAAATCACAGAGAATCTTATTATGATATGTATGGCACGTTTTATGGACACATAATAAAAAATATATTTACAAAAATATAGATTTTATTTAAATATTTAATTAAAAAGGAATGAGATATTTATGGATCACCTTTTACATATATCCATTCAATTAATAATATTGAAGATTTCGGTAATCCATAAAATGGTTTTTAAGTGTAAAATCTTTAACATATTTTACGAATTGTCTTAATTAGCCGAAAATAAACAGTAAAATCCATGTAAAATATAAACCTCAAGTTAAGCAAACAGAGAAATTAAAAACCAAACAAAAACAAAACAAAACACCACATACAAAACACAAATGCAACATATAATAAAATCAGAACAAACATCACGCCAAACAACAAATATGCCAAAAACATTTCCATATATTGAAATTAGTCGGGAGTTAATCTTTGTATTCGTTGTTTTCCAGCTAAACACAGAAACATGACTATCAACGGAAGATAAATAAAAAGAAAAACGTAACTTTCCTCTCCATTCAATCATCAGTCATCCACAAAAGTTCCATCATTGATATAATAGCATTACAAAACATAACAGCATGCTATCGCAAAGGCACTGTATTTTCAGCACAAGACACGATTATTTGACCAAAAGCCCATTCAATCATGGATCATCTATAAAGGTCCATCTTTGGCATAATACCATAATTAATAACAATAGCATGCCATTGCCAACGCATAATTTTTTCGGCAAAATGTATCACCATTCACCAATTTCCATCAAGATATCTACTTTCTACTCAAAGATATCAAGACCCAAAGCACACGTGTTGAAATTGCAACAATATCCCCATAGATTAAAAGTAGCAACACCCAATTCGCAAGTGAACAAATAACCTTTTTTAGAATCCCTTTGTCACAGGGCGTATGGTTTACAAACGCCAACGACCAACAGAGAAAACAAACTTCAACAATTAAACCTGGGATGGCGAAAAACGTCAATTGAGCCACGTGAGAAAGGAAAAACTTTGATAGACTGAAACGGTAGGATTGAGGGTTTCCGACGTCCTCCTAGTTCCGCCTGCTCGTGCTTTTGTGTGATAGACATTTTGGTCATCGATCTCAATAGTGAGGCGTCCTCCAAAGATATCGTTTTCATGGTGTTCTGGTGAAGAGTGACGACGAAGATGTCAGATGTCACCATTGACAGCCTCATCTACAATTAGTTGATTAGCCGCCTTCTTGCTCTCCAAAATCGCGGTCGAGAAGTCCTTCTTCCCACTTTACCTGTTCAGAGCAAGAAAAGGATTCAGATTGCTGGAGCCAATCACTTGAACCAAATAACAAAGAAAAAAAAAAGAGATAAAACGAGAAAAGAAAATGGAGAAAAACAGAATTCCATCGACGGTGAATGACTGAGATATGAGAAATGGAAAACTTACTGACATAGCGCAAATCCCGGAAGGCCATCCACCACGCAAGCTCCAAAGTCAATTGCAGGTATGACAGAGCAGATTTTCGAGGAACAAAATCCTTGCATAAGTCGCTTCTCGGTCAAAATTTTGGCAGTAAAAACCTAAAAAAAAAAGAAATGAAAACTTTTTTTGGGGGCTTTTTCTAAAACCTACCTCCGCCACGATTTCCTCCAGAATCTAGGTTCTGGCAGTCGGATGACGGCGTAGCGGCGGCGGCTCTATGACGCCATGCTGAAGCTGACGGAGGCCGCGCAGAAGAGGGGCACCGACCCTCTAATTTGGGACTCCTGATTGCCCTCAAGCCTCGTGTCTGCAGGCGTCTCCACGCCGTCCGTCGAGGTGGTGAAGCTCCTCGAATCCCACATCTGCTTGTCGAACAATAAACCAATCGCGTGGAAGTTCGGGAGGCTGTCGTCCGTCTCCACATGAGGGCAAACTACACATTGAAAACGACGGCGAATAATTTGTTCATTTTCGGAGGATGAAGGATTTTGGGGAAAATATTCCGGTTGCTTTTGGGAAGAGAGCACGCTGCCATTTGATATTCAAATTTATCTTCACGTAAAAAGTGGGAAAGATTTTGTGAAGAGATTATTGCTCAAATTGTTAACGGGATTGATTTTGATAAGATATTAAATTGATTTTGATAAGATTGTGTAGGATTTTTGGTTGATGATAAATATGGATTATGCCACAATTTAAGGAATCACAAATTTATTCAGCCACAATATAAGGAATCAAATTTTCAAATTGCACGATGTTTAAAAGATTGCCATATTCAGTAAGTCAACTTGGTTGACTATGATTTTTTTTAAACTTTCCTCATTTGATTTATTGACCTCTCTTTTTCAATATATATAGATTTTAGATGATAATTGTAGCATAATTGCGGCCTTATGACCGAGCCTAAGAGTGGCTTAAGGGCTGCAAATCATCTTCCAAAAATAGATCTCCATTCAATTTAAAATTTGAATTAAGAGCCTCTCCAACCCGTCGCTACTTCAGTGTAATTGCGCTAAATTAGCACAAAATCTCCCTCCAATGCTGCGCCAGAATCCTGCGGCAGAATAGATAAATGAATAGTATTGCGCCACTTCTGGCGCAATACTGTAGCTAACGCTACAATTTTTTTTTTGTTTAATGTGTTTTAATATAATATTATTGATAATTTTTGTGTAATTTGTATTGGCATATGTATAAATATATATACATGTGATATATATTTCTCATCGGAGCGCGACCCTATATATATATATATATATATATATTATTGGTAATTGTTTCTATAATATGTAATAAATGTATTTATTATGTTAAATAACTTTGTGCTTTTTATTTATTGATGTGTAATAAATTTAATTTTGCATTTTTTTACTATTAAAATTGATGTATATTAATTTTATTTTGTAATTTTTTAATAATAAAATACCACCAAAAATGAATATAAGATGAAATATACATATATTAGAATTTATTTGAAATAAAAATGAATAAAAAAGATAATAAATTTGAATCAACCGCAGGATTCTTATCTAAAGATCAATGGCTAAGATCATATATATACATAATAAAATTTGCATAAGATATGGTCTAAACCATATATGGTCTAGTGTGTAAATTTGCACTAATTCATATATGGTCTAAACCATATATGGTCTAGTGTGTAAATTTGCACTAATTCATATATTTTCAAAAGTAACAGTTTTGATTCAATCGGTACATAGATGTATATGTATCTTCTTTAAGAAATTCAATTTATTACAATTATTTTTTAAATGTGAAGATATGGTCTAAACCATATATGGTCTAGTGTGTAAATTTGCACTAATTCATATATGGTCTAGTGTGTAAACCATAATTTTTCTTATATTTACTATTTGGGTAATAAACATTTATATAATATTACATATTCATATATATAGCAAATTATTCGAAATAAAAATAAATAAAATATAATTTTATTATTTGAGTAATTAACATTTTATATAAATTAAATATACATACATACCAATTTATTTGAAATAAAAAATGAATAAAAAAATAATATATTTAATGTAGAGTAAAATGTAGAGATAAGGGCTGGAGATGAGTGTTCAACTCTACTCTAGAGTAGAGTAAAGTCCGCGCTAGAGTAGAGATAAGGGCTGGAGATGGCCTAAGAATCCATCATTCCAACTCAAGAATTTGGGGCTGGCTCAGCTTAGAACTTCGGTCGGGTTTCTTAAGGCTCAAAAGGCTGAAAGGCCACACCATAAGGGCTGGTCTTATTGACCCAACGACTGGTTTAAATGGCTTGGAAAAATAACGAGAACTGCTCGATAAAAAGCTTTACGCGATTAAACCGAAAATCCAAATAGTGAGCGATAATTAAAATCGAACGGACATACATAATTATATTATTCCATCAATAATATAATAATATGCAATTAATCAAGCATAAGAAAAATAAAAATAATATGCCGATAAAATAATTAAACCGAAAAAGTCTAATATTCAAATGAGGCACTACATTATCCCCCTTGCTTCTCCTCATTGAAGCAAATGTCGTTCCAATCACCAGTAATAAACCATTTAGAACCCCAAGAAGGTTTCATGTTCTCCAAAATTTTCCATTGATCTGTTCTCTGAGATCTACAAGTACTGAGATACACAAAAATACCCCACTAAGTATCGGAGGAAGGAAGTTGAAATTGCACTGCTATGAGAAAATCCTTGCAAATGATTTTGATGATTGGAAACAGTATAATCCCACATAAGAAGTAATCCCCCACTGAGCCCTAGGGGATCAACAATGGTTGTTCTGCTTTCAAAACCAAGCTTCCTACTAACTGTAGTAACAAAAGATTTGGATTTTTTTAGTTTATGAGAGATATACAAAATTGGGATGGTGAGACTTGACTGTCTTAGCCCTCTACAGTTCCACACCGCAGCTATCATTGGTACCTGGGTGCCATTCAAGGTTGGCCACCCTAAACTGCTCTTGTTCAACTCTCTTCTTCTTACTGTCTGTTTTCCCTGAATGTTGATCAGCTATTGCCTGTTCAATATCATGAGAAGCCATCCTGGATCTTTTGCTGCCAGCTGGGCAGTTTAAGGTTATAGGAGTGGAGTCTTGTCTTTTGAGTCTACCTAAGTTGTTATTAGATCTCTTCCAAGTTCTAGGAATGCTTAAATTACTCCCACTTATTTCTTTAGGCTAAGACTGGACAATTGGAGTTGGAATGCTTTCAATTTCCATGTTCTTAATGGGTTCATTATCCCGATAAGAATTACCCTCTACAACTAGAGCCTTTATCATAGCTGCTTTGGTTGAGCAATGTTGGATATTTGGAGAATTTATAAGGGAGTCCTCATTCATGGAATTTGAGGCCACTGTATCAGTTCCAATCTGAGAAGGAGAAGCTAAGAGCACTAGGATTACCTGTTGCTTTGCAGTTGTCTGGCTAGTGGAAGCCTGTTGAGGAGATTCATGAACTGGGATTGATGATTTTTCCAGAATTTGGAGAGTGCTCTGATCCAAAGTTGTTGATTTCAACCCAATTTGAACCTTCTGCTGTTTTCATCCAGTCCCCATATTGGCCTTCTTTAACTGAGTTTTGCCTAATATCCTCTAGCTTTCTGACACAATCTCTGTTTAGATGCCCAACAAACCCACAATAGTGACAAAGATTTACTAAATTTGCATATTGAAAAATTACCTTAACTGTTTGATTCCCCATCCGTATTGAGGCACACCTGGGCAATGCTTCTCTGAAATCTACTTTCACCAGAAGCCTTATTATTCTTCCTCCATGGCTGCCTGAACTGAATAGAACCACGTTCCTGATTTCTTTGAACACCTTGCCCACTTTGACACGCACCTCCGTACTTAGCTAGTTCAAGAGAATGTTTAGAGCTTGAACCCATAATTGCAACTTCTGAAATCCATCATGATTACGAGAGATGTTCTCTTGCCACTCGAGGAGAATAAGATACTGATTTTTGAAGATCCAATTTATTCCACTGAATACCTTCTTCATATCATCTTTGTTCTGAAAAATTAATTGAAAAAAGTTGAACCCTAATTCTTTCACCTCCATGGTTTGTTTGAGTTTCCAGATGTGGCTCATTGTGCGTTAGACGCCAATCCAATGAGTTTTCCTTTCACCAATTATCTTTCCAAAAAGACTCCTTCGACATTCAATAACATTAATCTTGATATCCTCATTTTCGATGTAGATGAAGGTGGTTTCCTTATCTGAAAGAGATATACTGTTAAGTTTTTGTGTTAGATCATCATCCCTCCCTACCTCGCCTGTTTTCCCCATCGATTGGTTTGGAAGATGAACCCTAAGTACTCAATTAATCCCCAAATCAATGACCTTACGCAAATTATAATCAACGAAGAATAGCCTCTAGAGAATCTAACCCAGAATCAACAACTGCTACGAAAGAGTGATGAAAAATTGAAATCCAGAATCAAAGAGCGAAGATCAAGAAGAAAAAGAAACGCTCTCAACTGAATTGTACTAGCTTAAATCAAACATAATATTCAATTACATATTAAAAGAAATAAAAATTTATTTCTAATACTAAATAAATTTCGAATAATGTAAAATTCTATAAGACAATAAATTCTAATTTATTACATAATATTTCTAAGTTATAATATAATAATATATATTTTATAAGATAATTAATTCTAACTAGCACAGAGCCCGTGCGATGCACGGGGTGCACAATTTTAAGGCTATTTATCCAGGCTTATAATTATATACATGAATAAAGAAAAATGTACGGGATATATATAGTACATGACTCATGCAAAGCACGAGATATATTTATTTAGAGAATATTATATTATAAGATGCAATATTCAATAAAAGTTTATAATACGCAAGAAAATTGTACAATGTTCAGTAAAAGTTTTATAATATTCAAGTGGAGTCTTAAAGTCTCTTGTACATTAAGACTACTGACAAAATAATATTTTAATCCATGAATTTCCTTTCCTTGTAGCCAAATTGTGAATGTGATTTGAGGAGTACAAGAAATCGATATATAGTTGTCTTGCTTTTTTCATTGTAGTTTTTTTTCTTTTTTTTTTTTATAATGAATTTAAAGATATTCTAAAATATAGCAATAATTAATTTTTATATTACAATTAGGAATTTTACTAAATATAAACTCTCAATCTATGGTGTTAATCAACGTTTAAGTCTAAAAAATTAGGAATTTTTACCTCTTTTAATCAACGTTTAAGTCTAAAAAACAATAGAGTTATTATAAGTTTTTGTTTCTACATCTTTTAAAACATTAAATATGAGCATGTTAGGGCTAGCTTGTAAAATAATTAATATATTATCTCACTAAAACATTTATACTAATAAAAATTTAATTTTAGCATATAAATTTATCCCTTGATATAAGAGAAAGTAACAGTTTTAC